AATGCCTGTCTGAAAGGCCATACATCAGTTGAAGCCCTCTGCTGACATCATCGCGAAATAAAAAGTGTCCGTAACTGAAGGTGACCGCGCCATGAGAAAAACTTCACACTGGTTTTTACACCGAAGATGACCCCACACTGCACCGGAATGGCTAGGCTTCTAAATTTTCGTACGGTCAGCGTGGTTCTGTGAGAACGGAACACCTAAACGCACCAATGTTCAACCGGTCGAAAATTCATCCGGTGCCGTGTGGAGGTAGCCTAAATGACTGATTGCTTTATTGTCCTTTACAATGTATGTAACAGTTGTAATCATGGCAATAAAAGCCTAGTGCCAGGACTGGCAGTGCGGTGTATACTTGCGAAAATCACAGATCACACAAAAAAGTAAAGACAAATCAATCCCCGAAAATACCCTCATCCGCTTGTAGGGAATGGCCGTTTAGTGAACGGGAGAAATACACAGTTTTAATGCTTAATTAAACGGGGCTTTGCTAAGGCGGCCATGAGTAAAGCCGTTCGTTTACGAGGGTGTTCCGCTTAAAGAGACGTTGTGTTACTGCGCATGCGTTCTGCTCATACCATGAAAACAATTGCTTTTTTTGTTTTGTTTGATGATCTCCGTTCCATTTTTTACGTTTCCTGTCCAGCACCTGATAAGCAACTCCAGTTGCTAATGACTGTCCAGTAAAAGAGTTAAGTTTCTCTGATCCACAACAGTAAACAGTTTAATGACTGTGCTAATCATGTGTGAAATGTCTTAAAGACCTTAAAAGGATGTTATTTATAGATGTTCATTGAAACAGAGAGAACTAAAAGGACATAAGACAGCTCGAGTCTGTTGGTTTCAACTGTGTAACGGAGGCTCGGTGCAGTTCTGAGGGAAAGCGCGGAGGCTAGGTGAGTCTTAAATTGTGATATTAATACAGAAAAAACCCGCAACTAATAACATAGCTTAATCTTTGAAGAACCTGTAAGGCTAAAATTTGCCAGTAAGGCCCCCTCTACACAAGAACCTGTTTAGCCTAAAATTTGAAACAGGGTCTTATTTTTTAAACTATATATTTAAAAAATCTGTACACTTGGGCAAATAAGATAAGTCAACCGTAGTTCAGAATACTCTTTGGAGACATTTGGTGCCTTATCACTCCAATGAAATGTAATGGTATGAAGGTTTTATAATTATAAGGAATGAAGTGAATACCACTTAATACTCTTAGTGACTCTGTATTTTTTCTTCAGAAAATAAGAAGCTTAAGAACATACATAGCCTACATTTGTGCTAATTACTATCTATGTAAGAAGCTGTTTAGACTAACGTGGGAAAATAAATCTTCTTAGATTTTTTTTTTACCGTCTTATTAGTTTCTCTTATCTTCTAAGCGCTAAGCAGCACAGAAAGCGTCAACGCTTATCTCCTCATATCAGCTCTAATCCGGCTTTACCCCGTTGCGGACTTAATTCCAGGTCAACCAATTCCTTTACTTTTCTTCTCTGCATTTGAACGCGATATGTTTTGGTGGGCCTCTACCCTTACTTCTGCAGTAAGGTCAGTAAGATTCCCTTTTCCCCTGTCGAAATGCGTCCTCGAAAGGGGTCCTTCAGTATCTTCATCGTACCCTCTTTTTGTTTTCTACTCCAGAAGTAACATACGCATGCAGCGAAAAAAATATTCAGTTGTTTTAATATTGTTCGTCACATTGTCGGCTGGCGAGTCATTCCATCGTCGTAAGTTTTGCTTGAGTCCGTCAACTGAATATATCGTTTGCACGGTGGCGGTAACTATTGACAACGATTGAGTAGCGTTTGTTCTAAGTTAGTAAAACCAGCTTTCTAAAGTGAGTCGTTCATAGTAGAAGGTAGAAAACGTATCTGCATGTCGCAGAGTCCCTTCCGATTTGATGTTTCGTCTGTAAATGGTGTTCAGTAATGTGACTGCTGACATCTCCATTTCTTGTCGCTTATTTGTGTTCACTCAGTCGCGTGCATTGGTCTCACCAATGTAAGTGAGCTGGCCGTGGCAGCATTTGATCTTGTACATTAGTTACTCACTATATGTCCTCCGGTCTTTCTTTGTCCTTGCCATCTGTAAGCATTCGTCGTAAAGGGGTTATCGGTTTGTGCCTAAAGTGTATTTACATAATAGTAGAAAAACATTGTTACTATTTCGCTTAACTCTGGAGACCTTAGGTTTGAGGATGAGCACGACAACGAGGTCGAGATTTGACCACAGGTAACCCAGGCTCTGTGATAGTACCACAGTACGGTTCCAGTAAAATTACAGTGTTTGTATGGGGTAAAAATATCATCCTAAAATTTCTAGGAAATACTAAATAAAGATCAATGAAACTTACTCTGCAGTTAATTGTTGTTGTCCTTATTGCTCCAACGAAGTTTCGTGATAATTTGCAGTAATTTGTTCAAATTCACTCTATCTACAATAATAATATACAAGGTAGGAAACACGAGGTGCCATTTTCGCCGACATAATCTCATTCAACACAACTTTTTCCACGAAATTCGGACTCCAACGGAAAATAAACATGCCAGGATCGTAGAAATAGGATAGCAGCAGACATAGAAACCAATGAAGCTTTCCCAGATAGAGAAACGAATCCCACAGACTTTGACAAACTCGAAGAATATAATCCAAACACACCGAGAATACGCTCGCCGAAGCAGCCGGGCCAGATCAACGCGCGGCCAAGAAAATGAAGCCTGGGCACTGTACAAAAAAATTCCATCCCGGGGGTCCTGGGGTGACCTTTCTAGGGACCGATTCATCATTTGCCCAAGGCCACCCTCCCCTGCTGGAAAAATACTTGATAGTTTGCAATTGTTCTTCCTAGCCAATCACTATTTGCCAGAGCAAACCCCGCACACGCGCCTGAATTTAAATGGCTAAAAAAAAAGTAATATAATCAGGAGAGGCTGCGGAGTTACAAGGCGTCCCATTTCTTTTACTAAGGAATGCAAATAACATTAATGAAACTAATGAAATAACAACGCGAAATGCTTACAAGGCGGGCTAAAAACAAGGTTGAACAAAAGGTAGATGATGACTGAGATACTGTTGCTGTGAACTCTCGAGCGAAACTATCGTAAATAAACGGTGAAGCTTACAAACTAATGTCAAAAATTATGCAGAAAATTGCGACAGAATATGAATTGCGATAACTGAGACGAATGTGAAAGGCACGTGCACTAGTGAACAAAGAACGTAGCGCGATTAACATATTTAGCGATTAATGCGGCAGTAACACGCCGACTTCTTGTCAATACAAGTGAACGCTCTATCGGTTAATATGTGAATCATCGTGATACACCTCTCTTTGAATTTGGTCCTGTTGTACAAATGCCTCGGTAAGAGCCAAAATTCACTTATATCTTTTGCTCGTTTTAAGTTTTGTAAATCGTCCTTCGTTGTTCTTTCCTTTGCCCTTATAACCTTGCCCTATTGATGTTTGATAAACTTTCTGAGGACCAGCGCCAGGCGCTAAATATAGTTCGAGAGGAAAATAATCTCTTTATAACAGGCCGTAGTGATTGGCTAGGAAGAACAATTGCCTTCTATCAAGTATTTTTCCAGCAGGGGAGGGTGGCCTTGGGCAAATGATGTATCGGTCCCTAGAAAGGTCACCCCAGGACCCCCGGGATGGAATTTTTTTGTACAGTGCCCAGGCTTCATTTTCTTGGCCGCGCGTTGATCTGGCCCGGCTGCTTCGGCGAGCGTATTCTCGGTGTGTTTGGATTATATTCTTCGAGTTTGTCAAAGTCTGTGGGATTCGTTTCTCTATCTGGGAAAGCTTCATTGGTTTCCATGTCTGCTGCTATCCTATTTCTACGATCCTGGCATGTTTATTTTCCGTTGGAGTTCGAATTTCGTGGAAAAAGTTGTGTTGAATGAGATTATGTTGGCGAAAATGGCACCTCGTGTTTCCTACCTTGTATATTATTATTGTAGATAGAGTGAATTTGAAGAAAATTACTACAAATTATCACGAAACTTCGTTGGAGCAATAAGGACAACAACAATTAACTGTAGAGTAAGTTTCATTGATCTTTATTTAGTATTTCCTAGAAATTTTAGGATGATATTTTTACCCCATACAAACACTGTAATTTTACTGGAACGGTACTGTGGTACTATCACAGAGCCTGGGTTACCTGTGATTTGACTTGATTTGAAGTTATTTCCCGTTTTCTAAGAAAAAAAAAACACAATGGAAAACTTCGTTTTATTTTTTCACCAGAAAAGTTAACTGGGTTACTTTTATTAAAGGAGGTTAAGCCCAATCGCGATCGCAAAATGAATAACACTTCCAACATTTGATAACTTGTTTCCGTCGTCACTACGAAAACTCGTTGTAGAATCAGATGATGACGGCAATTGCGTTTTAAAAGATTCGACGACGCTACGGCAAGGAGAACGTCTAAAAAAAAAACAATAGGTAAGCAATAAGCAAAACAACAACTTTCGCTTTTTTTGTACATTTCTTTGCCGTTTTTTCACGATTACGACGTGGAAATGCCTAATTTCGTGTTTTATGGAGAACGTAAACAAGCAACGACGAATTTTCATTTCGCTCCCTGAACCTGAACATGGTCCTTTAAAATACAAATTCAGGAGGTTTCGCGTACATTTGACAAAGCAAGTAAGTAGGGATAATCGCGATAAAGAGACTGAAAGCACGCAAATTCACTTTTTAAGCGACGTCCTCGTTGCTGTTGTGTCGTTGGAAATAAATTTCCCTAATGACGCTGAGCTACGCGCATCCACCACTGAGTATTAAGAAAGTCTCGTCATAGTAGTTGTCCTCATCTTAGAATCTAAAGGTCTCTATGGTGTGTCGCTTACAGATGATGTTGGTGATGCTGGTGGTAGCAGTTGGTCTGATGTTGACAAAGTCATGCTCAGCGTTCTCTGTTCCTCTTGTAACGCCGTCACCGTTGGACGCTTGTGGAAGTATTGTATCGCAAGTCAATTGTTCAAGTATTCCATCGGAATATAGACACATCACGGGTGCCTGTAACAATCTAAATTATCCATCATGGGGTGCAGCAATGACTCCATTCAGGAGACTGATACCCAAGAGAGAGGTAAGATACAATTGTTTGATAATCAAGAAAACATGAATAATGGCTGTCAGCAGCCCATAACCCGGAGCGAGAGAGCAGCTCGCATACTAGGCCTGTGCAGCTGCGTTTTCACCGACTGGTTTAATTTTAGATACCAGTCTAGAGCATTTTTTTCCTCAAAAGTGGAGTCTCCACTCCGTCTATGAGTGTGATCGAAGTATAAAATATCAAAAAGGAAAACTATAAAACGTGTTTAAAAGGTCAAAGATACCATTTTTCGGTCTTTAGGGTTTTTGACTGGTTTGTGGGACTCTTAATGCGTGCCAAAAATGTTCTAAAAATGAACTGGTTGGTGAAGTCGCTTGCTCCGGGTTATTATGAGGTCCTATGGCTTTGTGCTATCCTTTGTATAGAAGATTTTTACGGTACCTTTTACTCATGCCCGGGCGCCACGCTAAACCGTGTTTAAAACAGTAATAGGTTTGTGTCCACTTGGGCAGAAAGAGCCGGGTTGTTGAAGGGAGGGTTGGGGCCTAGTCTGCTACACAGCCGTTTTTAGTGTCATCACGCAACGCTCACACTAAAAATGGCTGTGTAGCAGACTAGTTGGGGCCAGGAGAGTTACAAATCCCATTCCGACCCAAGCCCAAATCGAGTCGGATCGAGTCGTTCTGGTCGTCTAGTCGTTCTTCTACGGCTTTGATAAATGATTTCATAGATTTGCAAATGCTTAGCACGCCTTGTGCCATTTTCTTCCAGGTTAATATGAATGGGCTCCCAAACGCAAGATCAGTCAGCAGAGAGCTGTTTCCCCAGAATGCACCACCATCTAATCCGGCAGAGGAGTCCCCAGAATCTACTTCGCTTACTGACATGGCAGCCGTGTTTGGCCAGTTCGTAACTCATGATATGACACTGACGTGGCACAAACCAAGTTCTTCCAATTGCCACGACTGCTTTAACCCTGGTACAGAATGCTTCGGAATTGACGTGACGAGTGACGTTATTTTCAGTGCAATAAAGTGCATTCAAATGAAACGCGCAACAAGATGCATAACCGCAAAAGACAACGAAGGAGAGCAAGTTAATATAGCCACGACCTTCATAGACGCTTCGCATATTTACGGCAACAACGATGATGAAGTCAGAATAGCTCGCGCCGAAGATCTGCTAGGTGAACTTTGGCAGGCTGAAAACAATCTTTTGCCACCAGCGCACGACAAAAAGCCTTTCTGTCGCTCACCAAATCCTGGTGCTATGCCATGCTTTTATACAGGCGACTTTCGGCGAAATAACGTCAGTCCAGGTAAAGTTTACTACCCAGCCAGCTGTATGTGTCTAAATTTCCAGCAAGTCTTATTTAGTCTGAAGGCAAGTGTTTGACCTATAAAGAACTAAATGTAACGGCTATATATCAGTCGCTATATACTAAACCTTTTCCAAACTACTACCGACAAAATCGGAAACCGAAGAGCATGTCCCATCACAAATTTCAAAATGGCGATGCGAGATTGGTAGAGTTCATTAGCGCTGTTCAATAAACGACGAGTCTGGGTTCGTGGGGCCCACTATGACCATCTTAGCTTTAATTAACATGCTTCATCTCTCTTAGTTTTAATGAGTTATTTGACCAGTGATGGTAAGTCACTGGCCTAGTCTTATTCATTCCTTGTCTCTTCGACGGGGATATAAAAGAAAACACACTACTCATTGTAATCTGTGAACGAGAACTTAGTACGCAGGTAATATAAGTTACAGTAAAACGGGCGACAAAAGCGTCCAAACATTGCTTGTTTTAAAGCAATGTTGCTGCAAAACGTTCAAACCTTTTAAAACAAATCATGTTGCGAGAATATTACCAAACAAATTCAAACCTGTCTCGCAAAAACAAAACACATCAGGTTGTTGCATTCTATAGACCGCAAACCAAGAGACTGAGGGCTGAATACCCTGCCTTCTGATTGGATAACTGAAATTACGCGGAAGTCACGCCATACATGGTATTTACGTCACTTGCTGTAAAGCAAGTTCTCCTCGGGCCGATAAAACGCGCAACAAACGCAGGTTTTGTTGCAAAAAGAACTACTCTCTACTTTCTGCAACAACTTTTCGTAATCGGCAACAATCTGATTTGTTGCTAGACAGTTTGATTCCAGTTAGTGGTAAGACGTGCAACATCGCTTTTCAACTCGTTTTGCTGCAAGTGTCGCAAGACAATTTGCACATTTTATGTTGTTCGTTTTACTGTACCGTTAGTCTCCAGCGCCTCCTGGCCTGCCTTTCATCGGTCTATTTATATGGAACCCATTCCCGCAGAAGACCTGGCCTCGAGTAAAAGACCATTCTCCATTAGGCAAAACATGATGCTTTGTATTCTGAAATAATGTTCGTTTTAATTTCATCTGATAAAAAGAATCCTTATTAGACTTATGCAGTTTATTGCAAGCGACTTTAGTTACATGGAGTCGATTTGTGACACTGCAACGTTTCTATAAAGAAATCTCAATGTATAATTGCCATTCTCTTGTAGCCTTGAATGTCCTTCATACTATCTGGGTACGAGAACATAATAGGATCGCCAGGAAGTTAAAGGAAATAAACACGGGATGGAACGGAGAGAAAGTCTTCCAAGAAACGCGAAAAATCATCGGTGCTATGATGCAGCACATTACTTACAACGAGTATCTGCCAGCCCTCTTGAGTGAAGAAGTGGTCAGTATGCTTATTGCATTGCTTGATATTTTTCATAGAGGCCCCATTCACGAAGAAGAAGGTAGGGAGGCAGGGGTCTAAACCTCCCGCCTCTTGTAATTCTTTTAAAGGCCTTGCATTTCCAGTTCCGGCCCCTTCTTTCCTGGATTTCTCCCTTTAGCCCCTTTTCGAGTGCAAAATATAAAGCATTGTTGAGTACTTTCCCCCTTTTTATCCGGCTTCTCGCCCTTTTAGTAGTACCACCTCCTGCCCTTTCCTCTCCCGTCTCTCGTACACCTGCAGTGCACCGTGCACCATAAATGGGGACTGGGGGAAGGGGGAATAGTGAGAAAATTAAAGCGCCCTCTTCTTTCGACGCCTGCCACACAGTAGCCTGGGTACCAGTGGTTTATTCTCGCGTGCGGCGATTGAGTTGCGCGGAGATGATTTGGGGTTGGCCGCAGGCCGATACTTCTTCGATCGAAGCTACGAGCGGTACGGCCGCTGTTCGCGAGGGTTACACTATTAATTAAGACTTCACTCCAACCGGAAACCGCGCATGAAAAATGTCTGGCATCCAGGGTACTCAGACAGGCCACCTATTGAACTACCCTTCAACATTCAAAAAAACGTAACTTTTATTATAAAATCAAAACGAATTATAGCGCTTCTGCCTACCTAGATCTAACAAGAAAGAACCCCTCTAGGAAAACATTAGTGAAACTGAGAATAAGCAGTCACAAACTTAGGATTGAGACGGGTAGATACGACAATATACCACGTGACGAAAGGTTATGCATCTCTGCAATTGTAACAGAATTGAAGATGAAACTCACTTTTTATTTGATTGTCCAAGTTTTTCTTCGATAAGAGATATGTTCTTCTCTAAACTAGAACCTAAAATACCGTTTCTACGACTACAATCACATGAGTCCTTATTATCACATCTGATGAATTCTACTGACTATTTTATTAACATCCAATTAATTTCATTTACATCTACTTGCTTTGAATTGAGAGACAAACATATCTCAGGAATAATTTATCCTACTGATGGTTAGAAATAAACAATGATTAATACATTTCAAATTATTTAAAATATTTAATTTACCAGGAATCAATGATTAATTTCAAGTAGCTTTTGCAATACCGTAATACTTTGTTATGGTCATGCAAATAACCGGCTTATTGTTGTTGTTGTTGTTGAACTATATCTATGATGTTGTTTTCTTCAACCAATTAGCGGAAACAATATGATCTTGTACTGGAATCAAATGGTTTCTACGGCGGCTACAATGTATCCGTTGATCCATCCATCGCGAACAGCTTCGCAACGGCAGCTTTAAGATATGGACACAGCGCGGTTGGAAACTTCTACAAACCCTGCATACCCACAGCTGATTTTCATAACCCTGCTCCGCTGTACGCTGAGAACGGTGTTGATGCAATATTACGAGGCCTACTTAATCAACCTGCTAGGGAAGTTGACAGGTATTGTATAGCCTGCGTAGAGGGTGGTGTTAAGGATTGTTATGTCCGGAGTACTTTCCTGGCGGAGGAACCTCGGGCTCCGCCGCCAAAAAACCGCAGAGCTTGCCCACTAATCCTGCTAACTACAGAGGCTGGGCATTATTTTTTCTTTATGCTGAAGTAAACGTACTGTTTTTAGAAGGGTATCTCCGTCAATAGTCTAACTCACGGGGATTAAAACTGAGAGAGGAGAGGCATACCTATGTTCGATTAGAGTGCTGTACGCCTTTAATTTGGGCTGAGATAATTTAAGTTGCTTATACAATGTGTCCCGTCAATGATGTCTTCTTGTGGAAGGAAAAAGATCTTAATCAAATCAGCGTTTTGTGGATTTTATTACTTAAGCCAGGCGCCTTTGACAGACGTCCTCTCTATACTGAACCAGAATTTATTCAAAGCGAAGAAAAATACTTCTAAGGAATACTGAGAGCTTTCACTCAGACAACATCCTCAGGACCATAACAGGTGTTCTCTCGTCAGTACTGATACAACTATTACATCAACTTTCTTTTTCCGGCCACGAAACCTTTGTCCCATGAATGAGGGTGCCCTCCCTCCCCCCTGAATAGAGCCGGGACCATCGCGGCACTTATTGAATTTTTCTACTTTTCTTTGCGGTGCTCTTTTGAGGGTGGCGCTTATGAATGTTCTCATTCGCGAATAACACGCTAATTAATAAATTGATTGTCAACCAAGACAGAATAATGGACCGAGTGAGAGTCGGAAAACGCAAAGTCTATCTAACCCTTTGAATTTCACCAAAGTTAATTTTAGACCAATTAATCGCTTGAAATGAATCGGAAGTTGGTTTTCGCAGAGGTCCGCAAACTTTTAATCAGTGTGGTCCAGAGAGAACTCAACAATCGCCATTACAATATTCTGCATTGTTTTGCCCTGAGGTAGTAGCATGTAAACTTGATGAAGTTTCAAACAATGATTTACAATGTGTGGACGTCCCAGGAAATAAGCTCTAAAAATAACTTGAGTGAAATTCACATATCCCGGCCAACGCCCTAAGATTCTCTCTCTGTTAGATTATTCCCGCTCTCTTGGTCAAGCCAGTCGAACGAATGCTAACATTCTAACAGTCCTATTCAGGATAGCACTAATCCAGAGGACCATATTCAATTTACACTTTCACTGGTTGCCTTTAATTCGAAGGTTCTTCTCATCGGCTGTAAGTCAGAAGCTAAAGCCTGGACCTAACCAGATCGCTGATCTTGTTGCTATAAACATACAGCGTGGAAGGGATCATGGCCTCCCCGCCTTTGGTGATTTCAACAGGCACTTCGACGTCAACAATTTTACAATCCCGGCTGACTTAGAGAACATGCTGAAAGGGTTATATGGCTCGGATTTGAGCAAAGTTGATTTATACGTTGGAGGACTACTTTTGGAAAATCCCACCTATGGCTCACATGTGGGGCCTACCTTCTCTCACATTTTAGCAGAAGGATTCGGGTAAGCTTAGACTATGGGCAGCCCCTCTTTTTGTACGTAGAGTGATTTGCGCTTGAGAAAAGCAAATAAAACAGGCGCGCGTACGACTGGAGCGGAGGGGTGGTGGCGAGGTGACGGAGGTTACAGGAGTGGCGACGTGGCGACAAGATGGCGAGGGTGGGTGACGGGGGTGGAGGGGTGGCGGCGCAAGAAAGAAAGGATGCAAATTGGAGGCTTCTGGCATCAAATCGGCTGCAAATTTCCTTTTCGTAAACATTCTTTGTCATTTTTGAGAGGCTTTGGAAGTTTTTGAGTTTATTGGCAAGTGATCTACCAGCTCATCGCAGAGAGAGGTAATGGACAAATATGAATACCTCAACATATGATCCTCAAATTTGGTTAGATCTTCAGAATAATGATCTTGGCATTAACGTTTGATTCGGAATAGTAATTTCCGGAAGTTTTGGCTCAGTGGTATAGACTAAGCATATGACATTTTCACTGATTTCAGGAATTTAAGAAAAGGTGACCGCTTCTGGTACGAAACAAACGAAAAGGGAGTTGGATTTTCCCTTGTACAGCTGATGGAAATAAGAAACATTAGCTTAGCTAGGATCGTTTGTGACAACAGTGGTATAGGGTATATTCAGCCCAAGGTAATGAGAAAGAAAAACCAGTCGAGAAACAAAAAAGATAGCTGTCACAGTCTTCCAAAAATGGACCTAACCAAATGGAGTGTTAACTCGGTAAGACATTTAGTATCAAGTAAGTGACTTATCCAACAGTTGTCTGTTATACAGTCAGAGAAGAGGTAGAGAGATGCTCGCGATGGGTGATGGGAAGGGGGAAGGTCACTTTTATATATTTATTAGTGAGCGTATGCAAAGACGTTTTTGAGCTATGCACGTGGACAACAAGTGATCTGTATTCATTCCTGGACAGTGGTTTTGCTCCAAATTTTCGACCAAATCGTTTTTATAAGACTAAAGGTATTAAGGAAGCGTTATGGCAGATTAAAAGAAAAAGGAGCTCACTTGCCGTTGACGTGCGTGGCTTAAACACGCCTTTGCTTGAGCTCCTTTCAATGTCCCCTTCATTACGTTACGCTACTTTCTGCGAGTTCTGGTCTGCCACGAATCTAAGCTCGATCAAAAGAGGCCACTAGTGTTGAAAAGGTGAAGGAACCACTAAACTTCAACGATTAACAACCAAGTAGCAAGAATAAGCATAGTCGGTTAGTGCACGGCCCTCTATCCGGGAGTTTTCGAGTCTGACTCCTACAATAGATGTGACCTCAAATCCATGTGGCCTCAAATCCTTGTTTAGACTTTTTTCCTCTCCCTGTACATCTTTAAGTCACTTTTTTTAACTCGTAAAACGGAACACTGATCATAGTGGGGGAGGGGGCGGGGGCAGACTGAGCGAATATTTCTAGTTGCCGACGTACAATAATGGTAGAAGTTGTGGATTGTAAAGTGGCAGCAACTACAACGGTTCGCAGTCCTTATTGGCTCATCCTCAGTTTCATGAAAGTTGGTAAATTTCTTGACACAGCTCCTTTAAACTCCGTCGTAAGTGAACTGCTGAACATCAAATATTCGTTATTTAAAAGAAATAAGGAAAATAAGCGTTAACTGGATTTTTGCGACCAATTGGCCATTTGCACGATGTCGTCTTTTTACTACTAGAACCAGAATTCATTTCGTTTTTTCTTTCATGTTTAAATTTGGTTATCTCAGCGAGTTTAAGGTAACAAAAGCTTTAATTTGCACTAGAAAGCAATACACTGAAGGATTATGGTAGTAGTGGTAAAATGAGGCCATTGAGAAAAAGCCTATCAGTGAGAAACTTAACCAGAATTTGCTTTTGACTTGCAGGTCAATGAAGTCAATGATTTCACAAATGAAGTCAATGATTTCACAAATCCCGAGATTCTTTTAGACGACATTATGCGTAACGACGGTTTGGACGATTGAGAGGTTTGTCTCTTTTACAGATTAGTTAGGCAACCTTTCTGATAACTATTTTATAAATCTTGGTTGTTTGATCCAGTATAACAGTTAACCGCTATTTTCATTCACTTTTCAAAGGGTGTCCCAAGAAAGTGCTGTGAAGCAGAAGCTTTTGGGCACCTCTTTACGTGTCCCTTTCGAAAGGAAATTTGAAATCCCTTAAATAAATTCATTTATTTTGAAATCCCTTAATTAGTTTGGCTACCTGCGGTTGAAGTTTATTTTGACTTAGAGATTGGGAAGTTCCAAGTTTGGCATTTGGGGAGCCGTTTGGTTTGTAACCTCTCTTTAAAAGAGAAAAGAAACTCAGCTTTTTAGCGTCAAGTCGCCTCTTTTTGAGTAAAGAAAACGCAGTCCCTAATGACGCAACAAGTATTTTTTGTAACACAGCACTGAATCGTATTTGACATCAGACAGCTCAGATAACTGCGGCAATTTCCGATTGACGTAGCATCAACAAAGAGGGAGAAAAGAAGAACCGTCCGGTCGAGGACATAAAATATGATAATAATAAATAAACAAAACGAAAAAGGAGGGTTTTTACTTCTTTTTCTTAGATTTTCATAGGATTATTCTCAGCCTCCTGTTCTTCAATCAATATTTTTACCTCTTGTCCGTTATTCGGCTGTTAACCATGCATTCCTCTAATGTTCCAAACTGCATAAAGTTTAGTTCACCGCTAACACAGATTTCGTAACCATTCACCTAGGTGTGTTCAGTCACAGTATACTTAATAAACCACGGCTGAATTGTCTAAACTCATGCTTTTTATGTATATCACCTCAGTTTGTATTGTTGATGGAATAAAGTTTGCAATTGTGTCACCCTGCCGGTGTTAATTTCTCCCGCCTTGACCATGCACTCAGTATATAAGGCAAGCATACACAGGACCTGAACGAAAGTCTAGACCCCAAATGAGATAGCATTTAAAAGACTGAAGACCAAGTTAGGCCATCTCTCTTGGCGACTCTGGTAGAGACTGTTGAAGTCAGCTTTGCTTCATTCTCGCTTTGCCCAACAAAAATAAGCTGACAGGATTCGCTAGTATTACACGGCTCGTTTATTTCGTAAGTTTTGCCAAACTGCAACTTTCAACGAATTAAAAACAGTCGGCATAATCTCCTCATTAAGGCAGGGGGAGTGGGGTGGGGGTGGCTGGGTAATTGGCTCCTGATTAAAGTGAATACACCAATGAGGCTTTTAGACTTGCCCAATCTATAAATTCCATCTTTACTGATTATTTAGTAAGAAGGCTGTACACACTTTTTCGCCCTAGCCTCATTAAGACTTCTCCTTTTCCAATATGGTCGCCATTTTGGTAAAAGAGAGGTGCCTATGGTCTCGTGACCATTTAAACAATGTGAACATGACAGTCCATATAAGGAATATATGCAATCTAATCCCCAGGGCTCTTCCCTTTGAAATGAGAGAACAGATTCTTTCACCAAACATATACACTGTATACCCTGAGATTCCAGAGTGGGCCGCAGTCAGCATGTGATAACGGACCTAGTGCCGGACGACTCACTTTAACAAAAGTGGAAACTCGATATAACGAACCACCACATAACGAAGTCCTCGGTATAACGAACGATTTTCCCTACCCTAGTAACAGTAAAATATATGGAAAATAACCTCGATATAACGAAACCTCGTTATCATAACGAACATATTTTGCCAGTCCCTTGGCTCTTCGTTATATCAGCGAGGTGTCACTGCAATTTCAATTCAAAATCATCTCTTACCCATAACAAAAATGAAGGAGGTGGTTAGATGAAAGTTCCAGAATAATTCATTTCTGCCAAAACCGCGTTCTTTTTTTTAAACCGAATAGTTTCTGAGCAACGTAGTACTTATTTTTACGTGATATGAAGTTTTGGTACTGAATTGTTATTGGTAGTTTAAATGTTAATATTTCAAAGTCATCATTTTGACATTGTTTTCGCTCCTGTTTGCGATGACTTTTGTAGGCAAACAAAATATTAGGTCTTTGGACGAATTTCCTAAAATAACTGATTTTTGCCTCAAATACTGTAGGTTAAATCAGATTTTCTTTTAACTTACATTCTGTTGAAGACTTAATGCTTCTTAGCAAAATTCTTCTATAGATTTTATTAGATCTGATAGTAATGAAATAATCATAATAGAATCCAATTTAATGTTTTTGATGCTACTCCCATATTATGAATTGGATTCTTTTGGTTTGCATGCTTGTTACGCAATCAAAATTATAAACTGAAAATCAACAATTCTTCGGAGACTTGGGACTGTTCATGCTATACCGCATAACTTTTGCGCAGGCGCGTAAACCATATCGGATAGGGCTTCTGTTCGCACATGGCAGAGAAGAGTGATTTCGGCGCTATTTCTGTAGCGGAGTTAGGCTACGCCACGCTGATCTCCAAAGTGTGGAGGTACATATATATCGGATAGGTATATCCCTTACCATATCCAACACTGTTTTGAATGTATTTTTAAGCTATTTTTGAAAACTGTTTTTAACCTGTTTTGTGAAATAGGTTTTAAATAGGGTGAAAAGTGTATTTTTAATGTATTTTTCGACTGCTTTTAAAGGTGTTTTAACCTGTTTAAACGCTATTAAAAGAGAATTTTTAAAGTATTTTAAAATTCTTTTAAAATATATAAAAAATTCCAGGGCTTTTGCAAGAGGCTCAAAACAGGTCTAAAACAGTTTGTAAATACATTATAAATCGGAATTAAAAACAGGATAATTTGCTATACTATTTTAAAACTATTTTAAATGGCAATTTTAAACGTATTTTGAAAAAAACAGGTTTAAAATAGGTACAAAAGTATATTTTTAATATATTTTTCGACTGATTTTAAAGGTGCTTTAATCGTTTAAAACGCTATTAAAATGTTATGCTTCAAAAAATATTTTATGTCTCCTCCCCTGTTTACTGAAACACTAACAATAAACCCCCCTTTACTGCCAACAGCCAAGCTTTGTTTGCTAGACGCCTAACTTAGGAAACAAAGAAAACCGAGACTATGGTCTGGGATTAAAAACACGGCCAAGTTAATGGCCGGTTTTATTCAAATCTGTAAAATCATCTTATCAACGTTAAAATAATTAAATAATGTTTACGAATTTATAGGTCTAGCAAAGGCGAGGGCCAGAAGAAAAAGGCAACTAAACTACAAGAAATACCTTAAGCAAGTAAAAAAGGTGGAAGATTGGGGAGGAGGCTGGTCGATTGCTTGTTCAAAGGATAAGCGGGTCAGCTATCGAAGATTCGGCTTGATGTCAGCTTTCAGACCGAGAGGATTAACAAAAGGTTACACCCTCTTATAAAGGGTCTCCGCGAGATAATGAGATCGAGGCTAAGTAGATTTACTTTGAGTGGCCTTACGATAGGAGCTCGTGATTATTACCCAAAAGTAATTTTACTTTTGGTCTTGTGATTCTCATGCGATCGTAAACCATTGTAAGATAATTCAAAGTTCACATTCGAGAGCCTCTAAGCCTTTGAAGCCGCAATCGACCCCCCCCCCCCCCCCCCCAAATCCATGCATTGAAGAAATTGGAAGGGGAGACATAAAAATTTTTATTTGGTTCCAAATAAACTCATTTAATAGCTGTTTAATCGGTTTCGAAATTTAGTAAAATACTCGTATTTGCAAATACAATAAAAATACTTTGAACATAGTATTAAAATACCACAGAAGAAGAAAAGCAATAGCACGTCAAAAATAGGATGCAAAAATGCAAAACAGTATAAAATTGTAAGAAAATAGCCTTAGAGTTGTCTGAAAACAGTACAAAAATCGGTCGAAAGAGCATAAAAACAGTATGGAAATACAATTTAAATTCATGAAATAAAATGAATACAAAACCGTCGAAAATTACCCCTGAAAAAGCAAGATTTACCTCGGCGAAATTTCTCCACACAGTCCTAGGCTAGGATTTCACGAGAATTATCTCTTAGCCGATTACTTTACGTTGATTTCCCTAAGAATTCTCGGGAAAATCTTATGGAATTTTTTAGAAATGCTCAAATCAATCTTTAGCCTGTGTACAGACCCCCTCCCCTCAATAAAAATCGGAGGGGAGGGGGGGGGGGGGTCTGTAAACAGGCTATCAATCTTCGGCTTTAAAAGGTTATAGCGTTACTGACGTTACCGGTAAATAATAATCTACATACATGTAACTTACATTGTTTATTATATTCACGGCTTTACTCAAATATCATCAGAAGCTTGCAGGCTACGCCTGAAAATTAATTACTGGCTGATAAAGAACAACATAAGAATAACACCATCAAATTTACGCGAGAATGAAAGAGGGCGGTGACGTGTCATCAAGTGACTGAAACAGCGAGGCTGAGCAAGGAATCCTGTAAAAACTTAAATGGCCGTACAGGCGGGAGTATATAAATGTTTACTACCCTTCATTTGTTTCTCATATGGCGTATATTTAAGCGTCTTAGTAACAGGTTATGCATTTAGAGGGGACATTGTATATAATACTCACAAGACTCTTGGAAGACCGCGCGCACCGCCTGAACCAGAACCTTTCAAAGTACATAGCAGTCGCTGAGGAGTCATACCCATTTTTGATTCGTAATAAAAGCAGAAACTTAAAAACTTATGGAATTTCCCGTAACTGCATTAATTGAATAATGGCTAAAATCTAGGCGGAGATTTTCGCAGAGAGCTTGCAGGTAATGAACATTGAGGAACGGGATTGATCTTTTATCCCGGGGGAGGGTACTCCCATACATTACCGATACGGGTATGTGCCACCCAACGGGGTCGTGATTTTAAAGCTCCTGATTTAGAACGGAGTATCCATTTCAGAGGCGTTTTCTAGAACGGGGTATAATATTTCGAACACATCAAAGCTCCAGTTTTGTAAGCAGCCATTTGAAATTATTCAAGGACAGATTGCTTTTAAAAATACGGTTCAATGCGTTAATTAAAACAAGCAAACTGTTGTACTCTTTCACAGTGTTGTACTCTTGTTGCACTCTGTGTTTTAGCGTGCAGGGCGGGCGTATCTTGGCGCGAGCCGCGGGCGCTGACTCCGCCATCTTGGATAAATAGGCGCGTGGAAGTCTGGAAGGGTCCATAATGTATCCGAGGGAGATGGAGACGGGCTCAAAAGAAAGGGACGGTGGAGGAGAAGGAAAATCGTTAACTTACGAGCGTGGTTATGTGCGTGGTGAGAGATTTTGCGTCTTAATTAACCGCATTGTATCCACATGTAAAGGAAACGTACTCCGGATGATTATGAAGAAGCATTTATTTGATGCATAAGTCGAACAAATAAAGAAATATCTTTTTAAAAAAACAGGGCTATTTCAATTTACAAACTTTCTAGAACGGGATATAAAAAACTGGCCAACTTCTAGAACGGGGTATCAATTTTAGGGGAAATTTTGTTTAGAACGGGGTGCCAATTTGGAGTCCCGGGCAGCACATACCCACCCAAAATATACCCAAGTGCCCCCTCGGGGTTTGTAAAGTCGTTCGGGAGTCATTCCATCTGACTTAGGCGCATCAGTTGTTGTCCTTAGGAGTTAATTTCTAAAGATGAAGTTACAAAAAGGAGAAAGAAGATAATGGAAGTAGTCTAACTATCGGTTAGCCTCTTCAGTGTAGGCAATGAAGTGAACCGAGCCAATGAATTAGCTAAGACAGCATGGCAAAGAACTGCTGTGTCTCTAACTCTTTCTTGCTAAAGTTGCGTGACTTCTGGGAAAGAATTCACAAGTTTCGCGTGAATTGTCTTCGAGACGCGACGGATGTAGGCTCCGCCCACTCACTGCTCACGAGATACTTCTCTCCTGCCTGATCCATCAGTTTCTCTCTCATACTTTTGGGGTCTCCACAAATTTTCACTTTGCTTCAAGTTGGAAAATTTCTACGCGAAAATTGAGCAGTAAAATTACTATGAGCTGTTCAATTTTAACGTCCAGCTCGTGAAGGAATCTTCATGTAAGTCTTGACCTCTTTGTAGACTTTGTATCTTTTTCAGAATAATCAAGGTCTCTGTTTTCATCTGAACACACTTCAGGCCAATATCATCACCTTTAAAGTATGTGAAATGGGTTCGAACGAAATGCAGCACTAACAAAATGGAGCAAGAAAGACTGAGCTGTGCTAAATCGCTTTGCTGAACTAAAAGTCGCGTGATTCTGCGTAAATTCCGTTTTATGCATTTCCTTCGTCATTTACCTATCAAGCGTCGTAGTCAAATCCTCAAAGCAACATGATTCTATTTACCCACAACTTTGCCAATCACGATCAATAAAAACACAAGAAGTACGTATCGCATAACACAAAGCTAACATTGTAAAAAGTAGTTTTCCGCGCCAGTTTTTAATTCCTTGCTCAAGGGTAGCGGTTGGTTTTCTCAACCAGTAATCGCCGTGTAGAGGTTTGTTATCAATTGTTTATCTTCTTAGTGTTTAAGGCATTTCAAACAAACTGAACATCAATCTTTGTGAGTAGTATGTCTCTTGGTCGCACTCAATTCTCCGTCCGAAACAGTGAATTATCTCAGGAGTAGCTTATTTGAGAGAGCTGCACCCAGCTACTTATAAACCCCAGCCAATTCATTTCGATTTCATCCAAAGCGATAGTCCTCTCGTTCACATCGGTATTTTCTCTTTGAATTTTGATTTCTTCTTTACGGTTTTATAATTTACTTCAAGTGAAACTGAAGAATTTGCTAACAAGTCGGACTGCCCATGAAGGAAGTCGCGAAGGTTTTGGCGATGGCGTTGTGTCTTGACCTTGCCGTTTAATTAGGTCTCAATTTCTTCTTCTAAACACACAGCACCAACTGTCTTTAAACAGATCTAGATGCAATAGCATGAACTCTAGATGGATGTACTCTAAATTGGTTATTGCTTGTAAATTAAATCGTGTGTGGTTCTGGGAAATCCTTATAGTCAACACAATTCCCCTCTACGGGGAATGCCGAATCTTCCTCAATCATAATCAATTGTTTCTTTTCTTGCAGAATCGCGTTACTTGACTGCTAGGAAGGACCCGCTTTGAGCTTCGTTTTCTCTTACGACTTCCTCCAAGAGTTTAAAGGTTTGTTTTACATTTTTCTACTTTTATTTTTAGCCATTTAGAGCTCCTTTGTTTTGAGTGCCGGAGTTGTTTTTAAGCTGTGTATTCGTGCGATCTCTTGCAAGAGAACTGCAAGAGGATTGGTTTTAAACAGGAAGCTGCAACGCTAGTATTGTTGTTCCACCTGACACTAAGAGAATCAAATCTCCCGATTTTCAAATTGTGTTCATTTCACATGATTTTTAGTTCAAAGATAAAAAGTTATTCATCTTATCTCAACTCCGCGTTTAACCTGAGATCAGGCCCAATTTTAGCGGTTCTCATACATTCTCTTTAACGGCTACCGCTAAAATCTCTTTTCGTTTCGCCTTGCTCGCTTGAATGTAATTTTCAAAGCGAAACGAAAATAGAGCCTGATCTCAGGTTACTCCGCGTTCCACACCTGACACACCTTAGAGACGCGCGTACCTAGTACAGACATTACAACTTCCTATAAACAGGCTTCGTAAATTTGAACAGCTGAAACCGCGGTGCTCCTCTCTTCTTTTTAGTTTTATTATTTAATCATCTGCACTTGGAAAGAGGTTTGTAATTTTACATTACACATTCTTACTAGGTTTTTAATCACAGAGGATAATTTAACCAGACCAGGGCTTCTCTAAAGTCATGTCAGACAGCCACTAATTTCGACGTCATATGACCTCGTTATAAGCTTGCTTTCCGCTTGGTTAGTGTAAAAGACCAAAGGGTGTTTTTTTCTGTTATACAGCAACCAGGCAGCTAGTATCTAGAAGCCAGTATAAAATAAGGTATGATCTTCCATTACTCTGCAGTCATGTCTTCTGAAAACTGGGCGGATCTTTCAGATCTTTAAAAATTGACTCTTAATTAAAGTAAGATAGTTTAATTGTAAAGATAAGAGTAGTTAACAAACTGGACTGTTAACTCGATCTGGTCAGTATAAGACTTTTTGAAGTGAAACAGGGCTGACGCTTTATGTAAATAGAATCATTTGTTTGTAACCCCGGTCTTTTATCGGCACACTGTTACAGCTACGTGTTGTCAGTCAAAGCTAAAATCTATTCCTAATTTTCTTCTCTTTTTTCAATTTCTTTTTGATTTGCTGGGAGATTTAATTTTTCGTTCAGCTTCGAACTTTGTTGAGAGAAGAATCCGATCCACAATATGTGACAGCTTGTTTGAGTCATTTATGATCTGAGTTCGTGACACGATAAAGGCTTTAAAATTAACTTTGTGCAATTGTTACTTTTATAGTCTGATATCCCAAAATACATTACAATATTGCACCTCAATAATAATAAGTAATAAGTACCCTATTTTAAAATAAGGTCAGCATTTGATGTCTTTAAGCAGACTTTAAATAGTTTTTGTATAATCTGCTTTTATAGTCAGAGTGTTGTGTGCCTAAAATACAATTTAAATAGACCTCAAAACATTGTTTAAGTACCCTATTTAAAAGTATTTAAAAATGTGGTCAGTAGTTAAGGTCTTAAAACATTTTTCAAATAGTCTATTTGAACTCTGTTTGTAACTTTGTGAGTGGATGCGTCTCAAAATATATTTTAGATACAACTCAAAACAGTGTTAAAATACCCTATATTTAAAAGTATTTAATTAATACAGTCGCATTTAATCCCTTAAAACATATTTCAAATAGTCTATTTGAACTCTGTTTGTAACAGTGTTAGTGGTTCTATTCCCCAAATACATTTTAAATACCCTATTTTAATCATATTTATTAAACAAAATAGATTTTAAATTGGTGAGAGAGGTTTTCCTTTTGATGAAATGTAATTTAACTACACCTAAGATATATTTCAAACAGGGGCGAAAAGTTAAATTTTTTTGTCAAATAGGATTAAAATACAGGAAAATAGTGTTCAAATACTGAAAATACATTTTAAATACTTTAAAATCAGTTTCAAATTACGTATGGTTTGGTAAGTGTCAATGGTTCTATCAAAGTAAGGATTATCTTCTTCAGGGGCACCCAACGACAATTTTCAGAAAATATCTGTTCGGAAGACGATTTGAGATCTAGAATTTTGGGAACATTTGTTGTAAAAGTTTTTGCTTGCCTGCCCCGCCTAGGATTTTCGAACATCTAAATAATGGTATAATTGCCTATCTTAAACGGATTTTTACCCTAAAAAGGTCACCTAGAATTTTCGGGAGCCTTTTTTCTGGCTGAAATTTTCGAAAAGGTAAGTTTTGATCCCTATAATTTTCGGATCACTAGACTTTCAGCTAGGAAATCCGAACAGATGAAAAATTTTTAGGGGATGAAAATATGCCTATATCTACCGTTTAAATACTAAAATACGTTTAACAATGCTATGTTTAAGTGGTTTGAACTATATTCTCGTTGGGTGCCCCTGCTTATTGATAGTCGCTATTGTGAGCTTCTTGATTGGTTCAAAAACTGTATTTAAAATTAGGCAAAAATCCCATCTTACAACTTCCTGTTTGCGAGAAAGCCACGCTATGCTAATTTTTTCCTGTTTTTCAAAAAAATGTCACGCTATGAAATCACGCTACGGAGACCGCCTCATGAAGCATTGCTTTTGTGTGGAATTATGCATTAACACTGTGTTAGTCCTTAGCTCCAAAACGAGCAAACTCAACCAAGCAGTCTTTAATCAAGGAAAACACAAATCAATTTCAATCACCTTACAAGAACGTCCCCGAAAACGTTTTTACGAGTATGCGATATTATGTCAGCGGTATTGACCACTACTTAATAATATCACATCTCCCTTCTCATGAAAAGAAAACTTATTTACAATAAAGCAATCAAACAATCAGTCAGACAATGACAGTTCAAAGTCCTAAACAACGTTCCGTAAACAAAATCTCGTAGTCGTCCAGGTCTATGAATGACTCTACCAGATCTTGTTTGCATCACAGGTGGTCCTTCCACAGGCAAAGGGGTACTACTAGCTGGCAGGTTTTCTTGGGATTCCAAATCCAACTGTGGCGATGATTCCTTGGTCTTTACCAAGTGTCTTCTATTTCTCCTGAATACAGTTCCTTAGAGATCTACCTCGTAGGGGCGAGGTGCTACTTGTTTGACAACCGATCCCTTTCTCCACAGCTTTTCTTTGTCTGATGGCAGCGGTTTCATGCGCACTGTGTCTCCGGGTTGAAGCTCAGGAAGTTCTTTTTTTCCTTTGTTGTAAAACAGTGCTTGTTTCGTCTTTCTTTCTTTGAGTTTGTCTTCAGTTCCCTCCATGATGTTTGGCTGTAACAAAGTTCCTGCTGTAGGTAACAGTGTCTTTGTGCGTCGTCCAAACAATCTTTGTACTGGTGATGATCCAATACTGGGTGAAGGTGTGCTCCAAAACAGGTCATCTCTTGCTTTATTTAAACAGCTTTCAATACCAAGGTGGCTTGAGTATACTTGCGTTATCATGTGGGGCCTTAGCGCTACAGGTACAATTACTCGATTTCCTTTGAAGAGGATACCATCTTGGATGCTGAGCTCTTCTTTGAAGTCAAAATATCTCTTGATTTCTGATGGGACTTCTTCTTTTGTTTCTCGCGAACCAATCTTGATAATATGTTTCAACTGCTGAAGACCTTCGTCAAGTTCAGTTTTTTTCTTCTGAAATCAACAAGGCGTTCACTCGTGATTGGCAGAAACTCAACCATGCTGATCTCTTCAATGGATTTGATTAGATACTCTTCCTGTTTGACTGATAAAACCTCCGACTTCAACTCTTCTCTACTCGGCTTTTTGGGAAGGAATGCTCGACTGAGTGTATCGGCAATGAATAGTTCCTTTCAGGCTTGTACACTATATTCAAGCTATACCTCTGGAGCTGTAATAACATTCTTTGGAGCCTTTTGGGGGCTGAAAGCAGAGACTTCTTGAAAATGCTCTCTAGCGGCTTGTGATCTGTCTGTACTGTAATTGGTCTACCATAAACGTACTGGTCAAAGCGTGTGCACCCGTGAGCTATGCTGAGCAGCTCTTTCTCTATTTGAGCATAATTTCTTTCAGTACTCGTAAGTGCTCTTGACGAGAATGCTATAAGCTGACCCTCTTGCAGTTTGACAGCACCAAGTCCAGATTCCGATGCATCGCACTGCAGAGTTACTTCTTTACTGGGGTCGAAATACTTCAACACTACTTCCCTCGTGATCAACTGTTTCACTTGCTTCCATGATTTCGCGTGTGTATCGTTCCAGTGCCATTGCACATCTTTGTCTAATAGACGTCTCAACGGTTTCGTCACATCAGACAGGTTAGGCAGAAATTTCGCAAGATACGTAATCATTCCAAGCAGCCTTTGCAGGGCCTTCTTGCCTGAAGGGGTAGCCATTGCTACAATTGCCTCGACTTTACTTGGATCCGGCTTGAGGCCATCAGGGGTCAGTACATGACCGATGTAGGGCACTTCTTGCTTTATCAACTGTAACTTCTTTGGATTCAACTTGATATTCCTCTCACGACATCTCTCCAGGAGGGCAATTAGGTTTCTGTCATGATCCTTAACCGCACTTTCATAAGTGTCACCTTCGCCAACACAGAGTATGTCATCTACAATGTCTTCTATACCTTTAAGACCTTGTAGGCTTTCATGGATTCTTCGCTGGTACTCTTCCTGGGCTGTTTTGATTCCAAACGGTAAGCAAAGCCAACGATAACGGCCAAAAGGTGTATTGAACGTGGTCAAGAGTGACGACGGTTTGTCTAGCTGAACTTGCCAGAATCCATTTTTTGCACCCAAAACTGAGAAGACTTTAGCCTTGCATAGCCTAGTGGCCACGTCTTAAATGGTGGGGAGAGGATAATGGGCTCTCAGCAGGGCTCTGTTTAAATCTTATGGGTCAATACAAATTCTTAACTTCTCTGGCTTGTTGACTAGAACCAAATTAGACACCCAATTTGTAGGTTCTGTAACGGGGGTGATAACTTTCTCTCTGACTAACTTGTCCAGTTCTTCCTTTAAACGGTATCTCAGTGCTACAGGTACTTTTCTAGGGGGGTGGACAACAGGTTTTACAGTTTCGTCACGTTCCATATGGTATGGGCCATCCATGCATTCTAATCCCTCAAAAAACATCACTGTACTCTTTCAAAATTTAATCTCTGGTTAGAACAATGTGGGCAGTTTGAACCTTGTCATTTACTGCGTTCACAGTTTCTGACTCTGAAATGTCACTTGCCATAACCTTGATTAAGTTCAGTTCCTGACATGTCTCAGCACCCAATAGAGGCCTGACATCCTCATCAGTTATAAAAAAATCTGCATCTCTACTCATTTCACCTTTGGCACATTTGAGAGTGCACTTTCCAAGTGGAGTCATAGTGGTTCTATTGTACATCTTGAGTATTGCAGATGTTTTCTTCAAATAGAGATCTTTGGGATCCCCCATAATGCTTGAGAATTCTTTTAGTGATAGCAAATTACAAGTTGCTCCACAGTCCAACTGAAATGTAACATCTTTAGCATTGTTTACTTTGACTGATGTAAACAACTGTTTTGGGTATTTCTTTTCTTCAACAGCACTGACTTGATAAGTTATTACATCAATAGTATACTCTCCCATTTGAATCTTCTTGCACATAATTCAAATTCTGATTGGCATGTAAATTACGACTGGACTGCCTTCCTCCTGTACACTTCGCAGCAAAATGGTTGCTTTTTCCACACTTGTTGCACTGTTGGCCATATGGAGGGCACTTTGATCGTCTGGTACATGTTTCCCGCCACAAAACTTGCAGTCGATCTGTTGAGTACTTCCGGTTTGCTGATTTTTTCTTCTCTTCTTGTTTCTTTGGGAAGAATTTTTCTTTCTTCTTCCCCACTGCATTAACCTCGTGCAAGTTTTGCATTTGTTTCAACTGGCTTTGGGTTGCTTCGGCAGCTCGTGCAATTTCTAGAGCTTTATTCAGCGTCAAATCTGGGACTCGCAGCAAACGCTCTCTCACGTTGTTATCAGCGATTCCAAACACGATGCGGTCACGTATCAATGAATCTTTCAAATCTTGAAATTCACAAGAGTCTGCCATGTTTCGTAGAACTGTGGCATATTTATCAATGGGCTCCCCACTTTCCTGTCCACGCGACAAGAATAAATACCTTCCGTAAATTGTATTATTGCGAGGCTCACAATACTGCTCAAAATGCTCTAGAACTTACCCATTTTGACTTTGTCACTGTCCCACGTGAATGCACACTTCGTCGCCGATCACGGTGAGAAAAGTTGCTACTTGAATGGGGTCTTCCTTTCTGGCTATTCCGATAGCTAGCTCATAGTTATTCCACTTTTGTTTAAATCTTTTCCTATTTTGAGATACATTTCCACTTGAAAGCTGCAGATGATCCGGCGGGTTTAACAGACGCCCGGCCGCCATTTCGGGGCCATTTCACACCACGCGGTTTCGATTTATGCGAACAGCAACGAACCAAGGTTTTCACAAGACAAATATTTCACAAATGCGGTCGGCAAACAGCTTCATCCACTAACTTCTTACACCATGTGTTAGTCCTTAGCTTCAAAACGAGCAAACTCAACCAAACAGTCTTTAATCAGGGAAAACTCAAATCAACTCCAATCAACTTAATACAAGAACGTCCCCGAAAACGTTTTTACGAGAATGCGATATTATGTCAGCGGTATTGACCACTACTTCATAATATCACAAACACCCCCTCATGAAGCAGTATTATGAATATTCCATATAGTTTTCCAGAATTTGGAAACATGTAGATTGTAAAGTTCTGTGGAGTCATTGAAAAATTTCCATAAAATCTAAAGTCGTATTGAAGTTGATTGTAAGAGTGAAAATTAAAAAATTTACACTCGTATAACCCTCAACTTCTATACTACGAAATTTTTCTTGGACAGCTTCTTAAGAGCGTTGTATAATTTACTTATTTAAGACTTAAATGACAATTGTAAAAGTGCCTGATAATTTGCAGACTTCTGTTCTTGACCCTCGGCGTTTTAGATGGCGATGCTATAATTTGAGAACATCGTCAAATCATCAGTGGAATTCAAGGCTTCCATGCGTAAAAAGTGCCTTTGTCGTTGACATGACTTGTTCTTTGACTGAATCTCTTTCTTAGAAATTTAACAATCTCAAAAATAAAGAGGTGATATTTTTTTTCAGTAGTGACTCAGGATTCAGGACTGCTCGGAAAAAAGCCAATTGCAAAGGAGCACTCGGATATTTCCAAGTATTTTCGAGTCCATATTGGAAAAATATCATCTCTTCATTTTATCAACTGAGGTTAACAATTTCCATATCAATCATTCATTTGTGCACTTATGTTAACAAACTGTGGCAAACTTTGTATCAATGTGAAGGTTATAAAATAAGGACTACAAAAAATAGGGATGTTTTCCGACAGATCGTGTTATAACTGGAACCATGACCAACTTGACCAACTTTATATCTCTTGTAAAAGGAATGAAATGAATAAGGGAGGCAAACAAAAACAAAAAACAGAAAGAAACAAGGGAGCCAATCAATCAATTAATCAATCAATTTCCATCCATTTCTCGTGTTGGAGTTGATACGAAAAAAGACTGAATTGAATCAATCATTGGTATGATGAGAATTTGAGGATCTTTTGGGTATTCCAAATAAAATAAAAACTTTAAACCTTAACAACAGGACTGAAAAAAGCCTTTGTAATTTGAATGAGACTCTTGATTGGAATAAATTGTTTCTTGAGTACCCCACGCATTTTGGGGCAACCTACACAGACTACCCTACCAGAGACAGGTGAGCCGCGTGTTTTACATAACCACTTTTTCTCTGGCAAACACCTGGGTATGTTGTGGACGATTGACGTCGACGATTTATTGCATAAATTAATCTGCAAAGAAGGCTATCGCGCAACTAAATACAGCATACTACGAAATGTATGAACGGTGCCGAAACAATTGGCTTCTTCCCCACCCCGGCAAATGTGAGAAAAGTGTGAATGACCAGAAGCCATCCGGATCATATGCCATCGATCTACATTGGTAGAACATTGGTAGCTCTGAAATTAAAATGGCCAAGTCATGCCTGCTAGGGATGACAGTAAATGCAAAACAAACCTGGCTCCCTCTCGCAGCCAGAGTCCTCAAGCTCTTTGGTCAGCAGGTGGTGCCCTGGAGGGACTCTAGGAAAGTGAAAATAATTATATTTTACTTTCTCATGGGTGACCCGCATAACAACAGACATCTGACAGCAACTTAGCCAAATCAGAGCCTTAACCAACTATATCGATGGCCTAGGAGGGAGATTTGAAATGTAAAAAGCGCTTTTTCAGTTTTACCTTTTTTATGTGAGACATGGCTGTGTTCGTTTTTACCACTTTTGTTTTTCCTAGCCATGAACTTTTAAAAAATAAATCTTGAAAAACAACCTGCCATTTAACACGACGACTTCCGTTTCCCGTTTTCAACCATGCTCACAAAGACTCGATTACCACAGTTTGACTGGTAAAATTGAGTCCATTTTCCCAGAGTCTCTCCGGGTGACCGCTCGCTGACGAAAGAGCCCAAGGACTCTGGGTACGAGATTAGCACTTGTTGGAATTAAAAAAGCCTTTGCTAAAAAAAAAAGACCTACTCAAGAGATTAAGATTGCTTCGTAGGAGGGTCCTTCAGGATCCTTACTCCAAGGACATTTTGCCTTCAGTGACTTACATTGTTGGGTTAGTCTCTGGAACGGCTGCAAGGCTCATATAATTATGTAACTTGCCTAAGAACGTGGCATCGGTAAAAGTCCTAGAATGAGTGCAATCATCCACTTTCTTTTCCCATTATAAATATGCCATTTTTATCTGTATTCACATGGCGTATGATGCCAGAGTTCATCTTCATCAACTTGCAGTTTTAGATCGGATGCGTTTATCGACCTCCAAATCAACATGTTGATGTGTTTCTAGAGCAACCTAATAACTGTAGAGGAACAAGTTCATTTTCTGATAATGTGAATAATATTGTGAAATTAAATTTGGCAATAATTTTTCGGCAAAATGAGATTGTGAATCAGTATAAAATAATGTTCTGCAAAGCAAAGCTTGTTAGTTATGTTAATCAGGACATTTTACCAGGAATTTAATTTTCTGAATTAGCCAGATTTAGCACCACTTTTTTAACCAGCTCATAATTTTGTAACAATCGCAGGTTTGAAAACAGATGAGAGCAGACAGCGAAATACTGGTGGCTCTGTGTGAAAAAATATTCCTGGGTTTTTCTGCAAATATTTTTCAGACATGTTTTCTTCTTAACAAAGATGAAGCTGCTGCCACCAATTGGAATGGTCACATGAAGTTGACTTTTAGTTCTGTGCCGTGGTTTTTGTTTCGTTGTGTTTGCAAACTACTTTTCAGTAGCTACATGTACATACATGAGTGCTGATTGAAAGCACTAACATTTTTTTATGTTTGTGTATGCAGATTGCATTATATGTCTCAATATATCAATAAGGTACTAAAACAAACAGAGAGTTCAACTGAAAATAGTAATTTTTCTTTTGCAGGGCATATTTCAGTGTAGAGGGTGCACAGCATATTTTTTTTACTGAAGGCTGCACCAGAAGGTCACGAAACTTGAAGCAACATGTCAAGCTGTGATGTAAAGAGGTATTAGGCTAATTTGATGTTGATTCTGATTTATTTATTGTACATTTAGTTTACACCATTGAACCTGTGTGTCATTATAGCTTGTCATACACATTCACCCACACAACGAAAACAATCCAGCACGAAACAACCAATCAAGAGCCTTGCGCTATCCGGTTTCCTCAATGTGGCATAGTGGTAGCTCAGTGTTCATGCAATGGTCACGCAATGGTCCTGGGAAATGTTCCTGGGCAGTGCTTAATTAGCAATGATTCATGCAGTTGCGAGTAATTGCTGTCCATTGCTGTCAATACTGCGCAGAGCATTGACCTACTTTTGCACAGAGTAATGCCCTGAGCAATGCTTATCACTGTCTTAATCATCAAAATTTCCACTGATTTTCGCCAGTGCTTCAGTCAGTGCTTGTTATTACTATGAGCATTACTTTCACTTTAGCGTAGGTGTTTCAATCTCCTGATTGCGTGGCCTTCTATACTGCTTCAAGTATTGACAAGCAATGACTTTCTACTGCTCCACACAGTCATGTACACAACCTTCTTGCCAAACCTCCCAGCACTGACAAGCATATAATGTTATTTGGGACTAGTCAATTTTTCGGGTGTAACAAAAATCCTTTCTTCCTACCATACTTTAAAAACCCCCTTCCCTACCCCACCTTTGTTTGGTTCTGCAACTTTGATCCACTAGTTGCACTCACTGAAGTATATGCTCAACGACTACATAGGATGCACAAAATAATGCTCACTCCTCACTCACTAGTTTGAAACTTGTTCAAATTCCTTTGTCAGATAGGTAGCAAAATGTGTACACTACTCCAAGCATTTAGATATGATCAGTCATACAATCAACATGGCGACCTATGCAGAGGCAAGATGAAGGAGTGCTACAGTTTTTTTTTAATGTTTTTTTTTATACCTGTTATGAGCAGCATTTGTGTGTTTCATTTAATTGGCAATAAAACTTTGATAAGATGCAAGCTAGGAGCCAGGTGCATGAAACAGGAAGACATTTTGAATTATTTTTTTTTCTGTGTGTGAATGTGGAGAATCGGCTAAGGTGTAGCACAAGAACAAAGATTGACTTGGGAAGGGGTTGTCTAATCAGGGTGGGAGGAAGGGGTTTTTGTTACACCAGGAAAATTAAACGCTCACAAATAACATTATGTGCTTGTCGACGTTTGGTAATGCTTTTCAATTCTAATTAACAGAGGTGTGCGACAGACGTCCATCTTGCCATCCAGACGGGCATGGGCAAACAAATTGGTCATTTGAAACATACACACACAGACAAAAAAATGCCGATGACAATTAGCCGGGTGGACATGGACGGACAATAATGCTGATGGAAATATACAGGAGGGACATGGATGGACATAGGTTATGTATTGGACGGACATGGACAGAGCAGACTGCAAAGTTATGTGGGAGGGTATGGACGGACATGTGAAATGCATGGACAGCTATAGGACGACAAAAATATTAGACAAATCATTTGGACGGACACAGACAGACAGCGCTGAGCATTGCTCACAGTACTCCGACCAAAATTTAGTAAATGCTTGCAATGCTCGAGGCGATGCTTGGCATTGCCTGGCATTGTCTAGCATGCTGATCATTGCCCAGGACCATTGCTTGACCATTTTGGGCAATCCAGCATCATCTTCCATTATTCCCCCAGTGCTTTTTAAAATGTTTATGCCTTTTTTTCCTGGTGCTAGAAAATCATACAAACTCCCATTATGTGCAATTATGTTTGATGACCAAACAGCGCTTATATATTTTTTGCTGTGTTGACCAATCCTTGCAAAAAAGGGTGATGTCTATATATGTTAAAAACAGGCTTACTGCCAGTCGTTTGACCATTCAATCACTCTAGTGCCATCTTATATAACTCTGTGTGATTGAATACATGCTTTCAGTTGCTCAAATATTGATGCTCAGGGTAATTTGCCATACAATGAGTTGAGCCACTGAATTCATCTTTGCATGAGCACTTTACTATTAATTGAGAAAGCAAGTACCTATTATCCTCACTTTGACTTTCAATTTCTCTTACAGAAATGTTAGTATTCGACTGTCTCTTCGTGAACTAGAATGTAATGCTGAGAAGAAGAATGACTTTCTCAAGGCATGGAAACTGATTCAGGAACTGCCACCAACTAATCCGAACTCATTCTGGTCAATAGCATCATACCATGGCATGCCATTCAAAGGCCGTCAAGTTCCACTGCTTGGGGATGAAAGTGAGAAGGACTCCAGTACGTGGGGTGGCTACTGCCAACATGCCAATGTTCTCTTCCCGTTTTGGCACCGACTTTATTGCCTTCGTTTAGAACAGGCACTGCAGTCAGTACTGGAAAGGGGGAAAGAACGAGTGGCATTGCACTACTGGGATGAATCAAGCGAAGAAACCAAGAAGTACGGTCTGCCCGACATAGTCACAGCCGAGTATGTGTACATTGATAAGGAGCTTGTGCCAAATCCCGTGTTCAAATTCAAGCTGCCCATGCCCATCAAAGATGATGTTCCAAACACTGATCCAGATAGCAAGTTTTATGAGAAAGAAGTTGGCTATGACACCTGCAGGTATCCATACTCGGGCATCCGAAGTCCTGATGCTGCTAAGGCGGCCGCTTTAGCTCACAATGACACTATCGATGGGACACAGGCGATACCCCTTTTACAAAAAAACATCATCGGCTGGCTAAATGAGGGTCGTAAGAAAGGAAAATCAGCTTATGTCGGTGTTGCCAAGGAATTTAAAGATTGCCTTGAGACACCAGAGTACAATCCATTCTCAAACACGACATCTGTTCGTTGTGATCCTTCATTTACTTCACTTGAGCAGCCACATAATGATCTACATTTGGCCGTAGGTGGATTCACACAACCGCAAACTAATGAAGATGGAAGCGTTAAACAGGATTCCCAGGGAAACATCATGTGGAAAGGTCCAATTGAAGGAGCAAATGGTGACATGGGTGCAAACGAGGTGGCTTCGTACGACCCAGTTTTCTTCTTGCATCACTGCAACATTGATCGCATGCTTTGGGTCTGGCAGAAGAAGCATAAGAAGACGAATCCGAGCACATTCACCATTGACAACAGTGATGAAGAGGACGAAGGCATCTCGAACAGCGGCCAAGGTGCTACTCCCTACCAGACATGGGGCCAAAAGCTAAACGAGAAAACCATTCTTTACCCGTTTCAAGATGAGTACGGTGTCCCTCGAACATCCAGCGATTGCATCGACATTGTCGATCAGCTTGGTTATGATTACTCCATTGGCTCGCTGGATCAAGAACACTGGCCTGAACCTGAAAAAGTAAAGACCGACGTCTCCCTGCTACGTACGCCAAGCACACGCTGGCAGGATATTTTTGATAAGCTGGAAAAGAAAAGTCCCACTGTCACAGGTCTCCAACGCTTCCGACTGATATTTGACCTTACTCACCTTCCTGCAATGACGGCACCTTTTCCTGATCGTGACAAGTTGAAATATTTTATTCAGGTCAAGGATGTCAACAAGGACAAGATTTCAGGATCTTTCCTTGTGCAAGTGTTCTACAGAGCCACTACTGGAAAGCTCTACTGCCTGGGACAGCGCGGTGTTCTGTCCAGGTGGAACAGAAGCAACTGCGCTAACTGCCAGGGACGCAGGATGGCTGACATCTCCATTCCAATCAGAGGAGGCGACAGTGCTCCGTTTGACCCTCAGAACCGAGAGAACCTTCAGAACCTAGAGGTGCACCTTGTGAGTAAGGACGGGATGACCGGTAAGTACAAAAGAGAGATTAAGCTCCCCGGCAAAGATCTTACTGAACCGGTAGTGCCGTTTGCTGCCAGAAGTGCTCCTGGTGAGCAAAAGCCTTCACTTCGTATCTTCGGGCTTGCATCATGAAGACTAAACTAAGAGTGAAGACATAAAATCCAGCATAAGAGGGAAGCGTGGTTCATTATCAATTTTCAATTATTACTGGCAATTTTTGGACAAAATTATTACCAAGTCAGCATTATGTACAAGTATGTATCATCAGAACGTTTATATTAGGTGCACTTCTAATTTCAAGAAAGTTAAATCCTTGCTACTTTAAAGCATTAGTGCTTGAGGTGCATTATTACTATAAAATTTGCTTCAGTCAATTTAGCATTGGAGACTATTGTTGTCTGCATTGCTTCAAGATCTATGAAAACTGAAAAAACTCTTCCATATTTTTTTTGCTAGCCAACTACAGTAGATGATAGATGATATTAACACGCAGTAAAAGTTTGAATCATTTATGTATTCAGTGTTATACCTGTAGCTTTTTTTTCTTTGAAATTCTACCACCACTGCAGTATCAAACTTTTAGCAAGTGTATAATTAGCATGTAAAGCTTATAAAGTTTGCTGAATAACCAGCTGCACTTTTTGCACTATTTCAATTTTGACAATATTTTTACTAATCTTAGCCTTCATGATATGGAAAACATCAAACCCAGTCTAAGCTTTTAGCCTATTTTAATCATCATAAGCTTTTAGAAACTGGCTTTTTTTATTATTTCTTTTTTATCCATATCTACTTGCTTATTTTGTGTGCTTAAGAGCTTACACTATGTGAGAACAAATTGTGAGTAAAAGTTAAGTAAGAAGATTAACAGTATGATCATAGCGGATTTAGTCACTTTGTTGCAACAATGAACTAATAATAAATCAATAGAAATCGACATTTCTTTTTAGCAGTTTAATCCCTCATAGGTACATATAAACGTATAAAAAAATAATGTTTTTAAAGCATGTTTTTTGTGCATTAGTAGGACAAAAGCTTTCAAGCTCAGCATACTAGCAAACCAGACACATTTATGTATATTCAGTTACTTAGTAGGTTTGTAACACATAATAGCTTAACTGATTACAACATTACTCCATGGGGTCCATGAAGGCACTAGGTTCTAGTACCGGTCTATGGTGACTTTCTGTTCAAAGTGATCTTTGAGTCGATTTCAATTGTGATGCCATCGTTGTAGAGGGTCTATATTGATAGAAGGTGGTAGCAAACTTGAATAGCAAAACTCTTTTGGCAAGCCACAACAATTGTAAGTGCTTGCATGGACTAGTAGGTAGCCTCATGGCCTAATAGATATTTTACAACCTACACATTTAAAAATAAGTAATCAGATTTTTTCAAAACAATTTCAACCCTACTAGAGGAGACTTTTGACAGTGAAGGTAAGGTAGAATCTGTGCCAATCCAAGTGATTCTGTTAGCATGCATTTTTACATATTTTAGTATTCCCGACAATTTCGATGATTTGGCTCATTTTATACGAGTGAATGTTTTATATTCGAGTGTTTGATGATTTGGCTTATTCTGTTTTGTTGAGTTTTCTGATACTTAAAGTTTAAAACTGGGGTTTAATAAGGTGAGCGTGCTTAAGCTCCGAAGAACGTGATCTTAACGTAGGAAACTTATCAACATGTGATGTACCAGGCTGTTCCTAAGCAACGCGTCCCATTCCAAATGTTAGCACCAGTGCACGTGTTTGGAAAGCCCTCACGAGAAGCTTCGTGCGTTCCCAAAGTCTTCCTTTTTGTTGGCTTTACACTGGACATAACGGCGGGCCAACTTAATTATTTCTACCGCAAAAGCCGTAAACAACTTTTGTTCTCTTAACCCGAGCAATTACTTAGGTTGCTCTGGAACCACGAGTGGCACGTAATGCTAGCAACACAGCCTGGTCACCTCTCTTAGCAATAATGGTCCTGTAATTAAGTACTTTAGCTAAGTTACCGGTTTGTAAGAATCATCCTGGCCTATTTGCCAGCAAGAACTGTGGTACTGCTTGAGTTCGCTCTACAGCGAACCAGGAACACTTTAATTAGTTTGTTGAATTACTTTCTTTTTTTAACATGCTGTAACAATAAGCTTTTCACCGTTTGTCATCCGTTCCCGAAATGAGATCACGTTCCGACAAGTTTGAACTGAATTGATAGCAGCTCACGCACGCTACAAGTCAACTATTACAGGTCAGCGAACGAAGACCAGTACGCTCAGTGATTGGTATTGAAACATCTCTCGGTTGGTTTTGCTTTGACTTAGGTTCAGCTAATCGTTAAAGATAGAGTGAAACGTGACACGGTTAGTGAAACGCGGAATCGGCGCTAATCCGTCAAAGGATGCCGAAAGGTTACCGCTTTTTGAATAGAACCTGCTTTTGACCAATCACTATGTAGCTTGTAGCGTCGCGCGTTCTATTAGTAGCGTGGTTTTTAGTGTAGAGTAAGAGAGTGTTAGCTGACGGCCAGGCGGTCAAGACCTATTAAAACCTCAGTTGAAAAGCCAAGACTGGTCTGCCAAGTTTTCCTTCAGAAGTTAATTCCCCCAAAAGAGACAATCCCGAAAAGCCCCGTCACATATTGACAATAAGTTCCGTAACAATTCTATTCAAAACACTGCAGCTTATGCTGGTGTTGGAAGAGTAGTGTGAGAAGGAGTATTCCTCCTGAGCACTCCTTGCAGTCCTAGATGGGATGCTGGTCTGTTACACGGTAAGCTCACCAAGTACAAATGACATCTGGGTGGTGAGAGGCACTGCGAGAGTAAAGTGTCTTGCCCAAGAACAAACCAAATTAGACCGCTTGATGTGCAGTCCAGAGCACCAACCATTTGTGAGAGTTTGAATTAAATTGAATTGAGACCACCGTGTTTCGTCCATTTCCAAAATAACAAATTATAGCTAAATAGCCTGAAGCTAAATGGTCAAAGATTGAAGTCTGATGCATGCAGTGGAAAGAAATTCATTTGGATCCCTTCCCCCACAAATGAACATTCTTCAACAAGATACCGCAGGCACTGCTAGGTTATCTCGTCACATCCATGCAACAAAAGATTCTTGAAACAGCTGAACAAGTCAACAGTGATACAACCACTTTCCTGCACAGCATGAAAATGGAGATTTAGGCAAACTCAGACGCAAACTTAAAGTTTGCGTAAACCTGCGTAAAGTTGGTCATCCAACTTTACGCAAACTTTCCACGGCGCGTAAATGTTTGTAAAGGTAAATTTACGCGCTCGACCCTTAGAGGTTTCTTAAAGCTATCATAAAGTTGTTGTAACAGCTTTACGCTCATTTACGCTACATGTAAAGGTTTAGTAAGGTTGTCATATAATGCTACCTTCCTAACAGGAATTTATTCCCGACACTATTTTTAGTCGTTTGTATGTCCTGACACTAGTTCGCATAGGGTTTTTGATCACTCATTTGGTGTTCGATGTTGGTGTGCGATGTAAACAAGCCAACCACGCAAATTGCTTTTTTTTTGGCTGTGAGAAAGACTTCGTACACGTTTAAAAATGACGCTGAAAAGAAAATTCTGCTAGCAGAGTTCATGCAAAGATATAGCTTGCGACTGTGCGGCAATTTTCGAAAAACGGCATTTCTGTCGCGGCAAACACAATAGCCCTCAATACTCAGTAGTATTGCCTCATTGATTATTAGTCAGTATAACTGTGTTTGATGGTACAGTTTGTTGCAATTTTAACCTCACCAAATTCCAGAAATTATACTGCTACATGAGAAATTTCTGCAATTCGATTGGCTCAGAGCAGTGGTATTTCAGCTTAATTTGAAATACCTTCATGTGAAAATTACAAACCTTTTGTGGGTAGTAGTATAAACAAATAATAGCATGATTTGTACGTGATATTTGGCAAAAATACCACCCGTGATATTTCAAAATTGTCTCAAATTTCACTCGCCTAACGGCTCGTGAAATTACATATAACAATTTTGAAATATAACTCGTGGTATTTATGCCAAATATCACTGCTAATCATGCTATTACCTATACAAATTGAGGTAGTATCATGTTATATTGAGTCGAACCTCCGAACTAACGGCCACCTCTTCCTTAACGGTCACCTCTCTACACGGGCCATTTTTTTTTTTCGGGCGGACGGTCCATACATACATACATACATTCACTCTTCTTTCAACCTGTCTACAATGGCTACTTTCTTCGATGTCCCTAAGGTGGCCGTTGTAGAGAGTTTCAACTGTAATTTGATCAAATTGAAATAATTGGAAAAATAAAGAAAAAATATCGCCACGCAAAAACGGCGAGTTTTACTTAAAGAAAGAACGCATTCACAAATTAAGGACTGTGCAATAATTATCAGGAGGGGGGGCATTACACAAAATTGCTGCCAAGATAGGGGGGGCTCAAAGTAAAATCACTCATTTGACGGAGGGGGGGCCTTAAGTTTTATTCCAAATGTAAATAAAATTAAACGCAATAAAAGATTCTCAATACAGGCATCATGATAGACTGTAACAAATATCAATACGAACAGCTGTTAAACGATTATTGAAAATATTCCATCAAAATGAAAAGAAAATTCACAACTGATCAATTTTAACCCGTCTTCTAATTAATTGAGCTGATCCTATGTCAAGCAAAAATCATGAACCTGTTTTTCAGCTTCTCCCATAAAACAATGAGAATCAAACAGATCTCGTAGACAAGCTTTGTCGGTTTTTGATGTGAATAAAAGTAATGTTTCTTCATCGACTGAATCGATTTGCTGAATTCCATATATATCTGGCTCATAACAAAGTTCAACAGGCTCTCCTCCCAAGGATCTAAATATAATGCAAGCTCTTTTTCGTCTGTTATTTGAAGCGTTCAATCTCCTGTTCTTTGATTTTTTTCTCTGCTCCTTTCTCTTTCTGGCTTCAGAAGTTTTAGATTTTGAGCCAATGTGGTAAGCACCCCGGTACTTAGCAAATGCTTTGTCTAAATCTTCAATCAAGTGATCAACATCCTTCTCGATACTAGATGTTACATAATAACGTTTGTCATTATTGAAGCTGTGATGGCAGCTTAGTCCAGTTTTGAGTTTACCAGTGTTTTCAGAGAAGAGGCTGTCGTCGTGTTTTGATATCTTATCTTTGATGGCTTGAAGCTTAAGCTTGATTTCATTTGCCTCATTTTTACATCTAGTGATATTACTGTCATCATGTGGGAGGGGGGTGCGACGTTATTTTTAACATAACAGAGGGGGGTTAGAACTAATTTTTTTTGTTTTGGAGGGTGGGGTACTGTCTAAGTTTTTGCTAGATAACTCTAGTTTTTCACCTCCCCCCTCCTGATAATTATTGCACAGTCCCTTACTCTGACTATTTTACATTCAACGGAGTACTGGCTTCATTGTTGAATCTCCTTTATCGCTTCCTTATTTTAAGTCCGCGGACTTCAGTCCTGGGAACGGACAATTTATTGAAAGAAAGGGGCCTGGAAAAAATACTTGAAGGGACACCTGGTCAGCGGGCTTGTTCCTTTGCACATGCTCAATCAGGTTAGTTGATTTGGCGTCCATTCATTCTCGTCCCAAGAGCCACTCGGCTTAATTTGTAACCGACCAGATTTGTAATCTGGACGCAACGGAAAATACGAATTTTTTCATTGGCTGAAAGCAATTGAATGCGCAAAGCAAATTAAAAATGTAATCTACTGTGCATAACATTTTACTTCGTGCTCTCTCGACCTGTAAACATAAAATCCGTGTCTGAGTTTCGTTGATTGCGACAATCCTGTTTTGTTTATATGCAATAGCAGTGACGAAGAGAATTGCAGGTAAAGTTTGAGAAGTTTCTACGAAGACAACGAGCCTTGACAAAGAAAGTATTGCCTTCGTTGTGTGCTAAACTTTGCCCCTGTCTCGACCGTCGCATCGCCTGGAAAAACTGAAAGGAGGAGTAATGGTCTTGCTGTTGCTCCTTGCTCGTTAAAAATCAAGCGGTTGATACGGCACTTGTATGGCGTTATTAATTAGTCTAATCAGTTTTTCTAATTCCTCTGGATACTCGTCGGTGCTACAGTAGGAAAGGAAATCAAGCTCCGACTACATCACAGAAATGATATGTTCGTTAAGTTTATTGCAGTGTGCTTTTAATTTATTGTATTTTCTGCTGAAAGAACATCTCCTTTACTGTACTAAGGTCAAGATAATATTTTGTTTATATGCCTTTATTTCATAAGACCACTGATGGCAGTGCACAAAGCCACAACTGAATTGCTTATGAATCATTTTGGGCCGCATGCAAAAAACAATTTTTTAATTGTGTAAATGTGATAAAGCAAATACTTTTTCCAATCTACGTTTTCTTCCACTTAATTAATGCTTAAATCATGCTTAGATAATTCGGAGGCCTTCTTTTAATTTCTATTTTAACAGTAAGAATTGGGCTGTGAAAGAAAAGGCTATGTGGCCGACTTGTTACAAATAATTTGCAAGAAGATATTCTCATCCTAACAGTCCTTACTTGGCTTCCAGTCGTGTGGCATTTAGAAAAAGATAAACAAGGGGCTCTGGGATTATTTACAACTGATGAAAAGTTAACAAAGAAGCAGCTTTTGCACAATTTTTCTTGATAAATAATTATGTTATCTGATCACTACATAGGGTAGCACAATGTTCTCAACCTTTTTGGTTAAGAATTCTAAAATAGAGGAAAACTTAACTGATATAATTTGGCATACATTATGTGAAAACTGGTGTAGATTTTTTGACGATCTTAGGGACAACTGAGGCGTTAATAAATAAAATGATAAATGAACAACAGCCTAGAGTAGTCTATTTTGCATCATACTGGGGTAAGTGCATGGCTGTTCATGATAACAACTGGATTTTGCAGTATGTCACCTTTGATAGGGTAGACAACATTATATCAACAGTAATATCATAGTTTACTCGCCAATCCTAACCACACCTGCTCTCCACCCCTCCCTCACCTTGCACACAGCATTGGCTTACTGTTGAAGCATAGGGCATCTTAGTTTACTTGGTTATTGACAAATAATGATGAGCCAAATTAAAACTTGCTTCCACTGGTCAATGACTCAGTTCTGGTTAAACCTTTTTCCTAGTTGGAGGCCTCATGTTATAACACAAAATAATGAATTTTAAGGGGACTAAAAAATTATAAATTATCAAAACCTTTGAGCAGATATTGTACTTTAACTCTATAAAGCACCACATTCAGTTTCAATACAACTGCAGAGGGTGGGGATTGGGGGTGGGGCACTACCCCCAAAAAATCAGTTCAGATTCACCCCGCAGTATGCTTCTTGCCTTGCCAAATTTTGACCAAACTATGTGATTTTCACTATCCTATTTCAGGCCTGATCCAAAGTTCTATCCCCAATTTCAAACCTTGCAAGTCTTCACTCCAGTCTCAAAACATGATAAGTGCAGCTACCCAAGAAAATGCTTTTGGGTTGTGTATACTCCTTAACGGGGGGATCTCTTAAAGCATACAGTCTATATACAGTGCATATATCACTCTACATTTCACAGTTCAAGATAAGAAAGTACAGCTATATAGCTTATGATAACCCGTTCTAGGCATTCAGATAGTGAAAAGTAGAGCATTAAAGGTAAACCTTTATATCGAGAGAAAACCGTTTACATAAAAACCCATAAAACGGCCATAAATCGGCTCGTGGACCACGCAGGAGAGACGTAACACACATTTTAAGTAAGGTAAGCTGTTTTTTATTGAAATCCTTTCATTTTCGTAGGTTACGAAAACGACAGGTTTTTTTCCCATACAATTGAATGTTACGCAACAATGCCGATGCTCGCCGATGCTCATATTTCGAGCTTGGGCTACCTGTGGTATTACCAAACACGTTCAAACCTGTCTTGCAACAAATCAGGCTGTTGCAAGTTGCGTGAATACTGTCTTCTGATTGGATGACTGAAATTACGCGAAAGTCACGCCATACATGGTATTTACGTCACTTGCTGTAAAACAAGTTTTCCTCGGGCCGCGATAAAACGCGCAACAAACGCAGGTTTTGCTGCAAAAAGAACTACTCTCTACTTTCTGCAACAACTTTTCGCAATTGGCAACAACCTGATTTGTTGGTAGACAGTTTGATCCAATTAGTGGTAAGACGCGCAACATCGCTTTTCTACTCGTTTTCCTGCAAGTGTCGCAAGACAATTTGCACATTTTATGTTGTTCGTTTTACTGTACCGTTAGTCTCCAGCGCCTCCTGGCCTGCCTTTCATGGGTCTATTTATATGGAGCCCATTCCCGCAGAAGACCTGGCCTCGAGTAAAAGACCATTCTCCATTAGGCAAAACATGCTGCTTTGTATTCTGAAATAATGTTCGTTTTAATTTCATCTGATAAAAAGAATCCTTATTAGACTTATGCAGTTTATTGCAAGCGACGTTAGTTTACATGGAGTCGATTTGTGACGACTGCAAGGTTTCTATAAACCAATCTCAATGTGTAATTGCCATTCTCTTGTAGCCTTGAATGTCCTTCATACTATCTGGGTACGAGAACATAATAGGATCGCCAGCAAGTTAAAGCAAATAAAAACGGGATGGAACGGAGAGAAAGTCTTCCAAGAAACGCGAAAAATCATCGGTGCTATGATGCAGCACATTACTTACAACGAGTATCTGCCAGCCCTCTTGAGTGAAGAAGTGGTCAGTATGCTTGTTGCATTGCTTGATATTTTTCATAGAGGCCCCATTCACGAAGAAGAAGGTAGGGAGACAGGGGGTCTAAACCTCCCGCCTCTTGTAATTCTTTTGAAGGCCTTGCATTTCCGGTTCCGGCCCCTCCTTCCCCGGATTCCTCCCTTTAGCCCCTTTTCGAGTGCAAAATATAAAGCATTGTTGAGTACTTTCCCCCTTTTTATCCGGCTTCTCGCCCTTTTAGTAGTACCACCTCCTGCTCTTTCCTTTCCCGCCTCTCGTACACCTCCAGTGCACCGTGCACCATAAATGGGGACTAGGGGAAGGAGGAATAGTGAAAAAATTAAAGCGCCCATTTCTTTCGACGCCTGCCACATAGTAGCCTGGGTACCAGTGGTTTATTCTCGCGTGCGGCGATTGAGTTGCGCGGAGATGATTCGGGGTCGGCCGCAGGCCGATACTTCTTCGATCGAAGCTACGAGCGGTGCGGCCGCTTTTTGCGAGGGTTACACAATTAAGACTTCACCCCAACCGGAAACCGCGCATGAAAAATGTCTGGCACCCAGGGTACTCAGACAGGCCATATATTGAATTACATCTATGATGACGTTGTTTTCTCTAACCAATTAGCGGAAACAATATGATCTTGTACTGGAATCAAATGGTTTCTACGGCGGCTACGATGTATCCGTTGATCCATCCATCGCGAACAGCTTCGCAACGGCAGCTTTAAGATACGGACACAGCGCGGTTGGAAACTTCTACAAACCCAACATACCCACAGCTGATTTTCATAACCCTGCTCCACTGTACGCTGAGGATGGTGTTGATGCAATTTTACGAGGCCTACTTAATCAACCTTCTAGGGAAGTTGACAGGTATTGTATAGCCTGCGTAGAGGGTGGGATTGTTATGTGCGGAGTACTTTCCTGGCGGAGGAACTTCGGGCTCCGCCGCCAAAAATTCGCAGAACGTGCCCGCTAATCCTGCTAGCTACAGAGGCTGGGCATTGTAGAGTTCATTTTTGGTTTAAGGTGAAGTAAACGTACTGTTTTTAGAAGGGTATCTCCGTCAATAGTCTAACTCACGGGGATTAAAACTGAGAGAGGGGAGGCATACCTATGTTCGATTAGAGTGCTGTACGCCTTTGATTTGGGCTGAGATAATTTAAGTTGCTTATACAATGTGTCCCGTCAGTGATGTCTTCTTGTGGAAGGAAAAAGATCTTAATCAAATCAGCGTTTTGTGGATTTTATTACTTAAGGCAGGTGCCTTTGACAGACATCCTCTCTATACTGAACCAGAATTTATTCAAAGCGAAGAAAAATACTTTTAAGGAATACTGAGAGCTTTCACTCAGACAACACTCTCGGGACCATAACAGGTGTTCCCTCATCAGTGCTGATACAATTATTACGTCAACTTTCTTTTTCCGGCCACAAAACCTTTGTCCCATGAATGAGGGTGCCCCCCTGAAAAGAGGGACCATCGCGGCACTTATGAAATTTTTCTACTTTTCTTTGCGGTGCTCT